TGGGGAAAGAATCCACGACCACTATATGTACTCATAATGCATTAGCGCAAAAGGTATCGATCTAACTTGTGACTTGTTACTAGTAAACAAATAGTGGATGATCAAACGCTATAATATAAAAGGAATTTGAACTTAGGGGTCCACAACTATCTTTCTATAGTTGGTAACACTACGCAAGATATGATAGGGAAAAAAAAATAAAAATCAAAGAAATATCAGAACCATTATTATGCACTGTAGAATATCCGTGCGGATGAGCCCAACGTTGCTTGCACTCATAATTATTTTGACCAGTTGATATTGGATGCATCCCAAGCGTCTTTAATGACTCGTGTTAGGACCAAAACCAACTTGCCAACGCACAACTTCAAAGAGGACTCGTGACTCGTCCCTCCAAAACAATCCTCCATATATACCCAACTGGGATGAGAGAGCATATAGCAGTATCCACAAAGGAACCATAAGAAACTATCCCACATAGTATGCTGAGTTTGGACAGTCTTTCCTAATTATTGGACAAATATTAGGGGAATGAAAAATCCGCAATTAAAATTACACTATCACCACACTATCAAGCATACAATTTAATTAGTGGCCTTGAGTAGTTGTTAGAGAATAATATAAATTATTAAAAAAATCATCACTTAATTTTGAATTGAAATGATTATATTATATGATATCAGAGCTTCAATGACCATAAGAGCTTTAGTCTCCCTGAGAAAGCTGATGTTAGTCCTTTGATCATAGAGTAATTAACCAGCCAATCTTTTTTGTAATCAATTAAGAGCCCGTTTGGATGAGTTTTTTTTTTTTCAAAAGCTACTTTTTTTAAGGAAAAAAAAAATACTTCTCGAAAAAAGTTTGTTTGGATGCCTGCTTTTAAAAAAAGCAGAAGTCATAAAAAAAGCCAAAAATCTACTTTTTTTGAAAGTTAAAAATTTTAACTTTTTAAAAAAGCAGAAGTCAAAAGTCAAATATTTTTTTTTTAAAAATCAAATATTTTTAAAAAATTCTAAATAGCTGTAACTTTTATAGAAAGTACTTTTAAAATAAGAAAGTGATAAAAAGAACTTTTTTAAAAAGGGCAATACAAAACGAGCCCTAAGTAGAAGCTTATCAAGCCTAATAAATCATAAACATTTAGATCAACACAATTCGTTGTTTGTGGCCCAACCCAAGTAATTTTCTGTCTAATCTACAAATTACCACTTAGTCACTTACTCATTCTTAATCTGTCTATCTATCAACATCTCAGAGTGATATAATAAATGTTAAACAAGAATGATAGCATTATTCCCGTTATAATATTTTCCATGTGAGTTGAAGATCATTCAAATTTACAGTTCAGGAGAGAGAACTTTTGTCAATAGTGATAATTTGATGCAAGGTGACATGATTTTTCTAATCTTTCTTTTTGATTGCAAGAAAGTGAGGAGTGTCCAATCGGGCATGCCACATTCATTGGATATGCTGTCTGTGGATTCGGGTATTCAGTCGTGTTGTTTTCTCCTTTTATTATTCAGTTTGGCGTGCAGAGAAATATTGTACGACAAGGTGATTGTGACTCCTTTTTAATGAGATAGATACCTTTGTGCCCATATGATCGTGGTCTTCTTTCTTTATGTGCATTTCCTTTTTCTTTTATTTTTGTCTATTTCTTCTTCTTCTTACTTTTATCATGTTTATCTTGAATTTTTGTGCATTATCATGGTCCTAATCAATATATATCTCTCTCTGCCTGAAATCTTTTGTACTGTACTGTGATATGTCACTAATTTGGCGTGATGCTTTCCATTAATGGACATGGTTCTGAAGGCAAGCAACAATAATAAATAGGCCAAAATATTTCTATCACACATGGTGGGACTCCTGAAATTCTGTCAGACTCTGATTTTTGAAGGGTGTGATTCTGATGCGTCAGAGACTACTTAGCACATGCTGCCGTTAATGCCCAACAACACATGTACCATTACCCACCTTATATATATATTGGCTTGGACACTAGTCCTACTTCTAGTCCTGCCACTTTCCCAACACCCAATTGGAAGCATCAAAGCAATTGATAAATTCTACCTCCATTATGGAGGTAAGGTATCATGCCAGTTACCGAGGGCCCCCCCATAAATTGTTTTGTACATTGCAGATTATGCCTCATTTAGAATTATTGTCGCTTTTATACTAGCGTTTATTTATGATATATTGTCTACATCTATTAGTTACTTGATCTAGTTAATCTCAATAACATTTCTAGTTGTTGATTAGCATGTTAAGATTTTGAAATAAAAAGATGTTATGTTTAATTTTTTTGAAGTTTAAATTTAAAAAAAAATTATGACCAAGGAAACTCTTGTTTTTATGTTAAGGAGTTGAATGTGTGGTTTGGAGAATTCCTGGTAACTTCGTGTGAAAAGAGTGTCATTTAGTCCTTTGCACAAGAATGGATTTTATTCCAAAAATCATGAAGACGGTGGTGGATTCAAGAAAAAGAATCAAAAGGCAAAATTGAATAGTAAAGGAGAAAAAAAATAAAAGATTGAATGAATAGGATACATGAACATTTCAATCATTTCATCCCATTTCGGAAGAGAAGTACATCTTTAAACCATGCATCCTTTTTTTTTTTCTTTTTGGCGACAGACAAGTCACCGGAGAAGATTGTGTGTTGAGAAAAGATAAAAGTTAAAGTTATGAAATACTGACAAAGAGGACTCTCTGAATCTCTGGTTTATCGATCGATTAACTTGTGGGTCGTTGAACCCATGTTAAGCTACGACTTTAATAACGACATCAATCATAAATATTTTGACAACTCTTTTTTTTTTTTAATGTAGTGGGGGAACGGTATCAATATCTCCATCCGAGGTGATATTCGATTTATTAAATTGGAGTTCCTTTCGCCTTTCGATTTTTGTTTAAAAAAAGATATTATGTATAATTTTGAAGTTATCAAAACTATACGTTGGATTTATAATTAAGATGTAAAATATTGTGTGAAAATAAAAGTGTGCAAATGAAAATCTTACTTTTAAATTGATAGAAAATTTGTTAAGGAATATTTGTAATTTTTTTATGGGCTGGAAATTACTTATCACACTCTTTCTAGGTACATGGTGCATTTGTGGATGAAATTTCAGTCGTATTGTGTTGCACGAGTACGACTGGATTTCCAACTGTACGATGCAAGGCATACATATGTGAAGAAATTATTCTAGGGGATTCAGTTCATAAAGCGAGTGTTTGGATTAGTTTATCTTACAATTATTTTTTATAACTTTTGAGACATTTAAAAAATGAATTCTTTTTCATAGTTAAACGTTTCTACACATGTAATAAGTACCGAAGGTTTCACTAGAAAGAAAAAAAAATGGTAGATATTAATTGGTATATGAAGCTCTAAGTCCACTATTCCGATTTCGAGTTTAAATATTTTATTTTTTTCAGGAATTGTAACTCTAAGAATTAAACTTAAATCTCTGAAAGTATGTAGATATAGTAATAGCATTTGATTGGTGTACATAGAGAAAGTTTCACGTAGGACTTATGAACAAAATAAGATGCAAGAAAAGAACATAGCTTGGTAGAGCTTCTAAAATCGATTATATCAATGCCCAAACACAAAATATAGTTTATGATTTTTTTTTTTTACTGATCGACGCATATACCTACGGATGAGTATGTCACTAAAAACTTCTAAGTTATATGGGTGTGTTTGATTATTAATTTTTGGGAAATAATTTTGTTGTGTTGTAGAAAAATAGTTATCTTATGTTGTAGAAACAAGATTGCAAGTGGAACCCATAAGTAATAGGATAGAGAAAAAAAAAATGAAATCCACCCATCTTTTGTGTGTGTAGAAAATTTAGTTATCTCATGCAAAATGACATCAATATAACTCTTAATTTTTTTAATTCAATCAAAATAATAAAACAAGCACTATTTTTTACATAGAACTATTACTTATTTTATTTGTAAATAAGGTAAATAATAATCAATATTTATAGGAACTATTCTCTATAGAGTGAACTTATATTTACAATTTATTTTCGCTTATAACCTCTTACAACCAAATCTTAACTGTTAATTTTTTCTTATAACCAAATTTTAACCTTTCGCTTATAATCTCTTACAACCAAATCTTTATAATTTATTAGGTTATATATATATAATTTAATTTAGTTATAATCGTCAAATTAACCAAAATCAACTATTAAGATAGCCAAAATATGTTGTAAACTTCTCAATATCCCATTTAAACAAAAATGAATGTTAAGAAGTATAACATTTACTTTATTGATAACAGAAGTTTATACTTACCTTGATATACATTAAAGCTAAATAGCATAGGGAAGAGAGTGTGGACAAAGAACTATAGAAAGAGGAAGGGATGAAATAAAAGCCTAGGTAAGAAAAAGAACTAAAGAAAGGGAGGGAAAATAAATAAAGAGGAAGGTGGAGGAGAAAGCATCCTCTTAATGAATGATTGCCTCTAACGAGTCGTCTCGAGCCTGCAGCAACGGACTTATCTTTGGTTGTGAAGTCCCTTTTTACTCAGTTTTCTTTGGCTTTATGGCGATTCTAGTTCTGTATCAACTTTAAAGACTTTTTCGTACCCATTATTCAAAACAATATAATGAAAGCAAACAAAAGGAAACCACTCATCACATTCATAGCCGTTTCCGGAATTGATGCCTGCTAATGGTCCTATGCACACCCCCTTCTGTTACGACCTGTTCTGCTCTGTGGCTCTGTGCCCTTTCTATTCACACGCCCCACCCCCACATCACAACAAACTTTCCTGATAGTGGGATTCCCCCTACTCCATCTCTTCCAACGGTTCATTCACATTTCACACTCAATGGTTTACTTAGTGGGAGACACATCCCTCTTCCTTCGTTGTTTACATATCAATACCATTACCAACACTCTCATATATATTTTCTTTATTAAATAATAAATATCTACATATTAAAATATGTAAAAAAAAAAAAAAGCATTGAGAAAAAAAACAAAAAACAAATCTGTATTAACAAAAGAATTCTAGAATTCTAAAGTCTAATTTTCTTTTTCTTACACTGTCCTTTGGACCGAAAAAAGAAAGTGTATATTTTTGGATGGTATGAAAAATGTAAATTGCTAAGAGAAATTAACATGGACGCTAGCATTGATGCCTGAATGGCATCGAGGGCAATTGTGAATGGTGGACCCACACATTGTACATAGACACAGATGCCTGCATGGAAGTAACAGTACTATTGATTCTCTCACCCCACAGTTGCTGCACATCCTCTCCGCCACCGCATCATTATTCTCCTCGTTCTGGTGGTTGCTTCCGCAACTTGATTCTGCATCATCATCTGCACCGCTGCCGTGGTGGCGGTGGTCCTCACTAACGTGCGCCAGCACTTGTTCCAAATTGCTACGTAGGGTATTCGCCGTGGCCTCGTTTGTCTGTGCCAACTCCCTCCAAATCTTGTTCTCCACGCAGAGGCTCTTCACCCTTTCTTGAAGCACCCAATTCAGCTTCCCCATTCTCTGAATCTCTTCCTCTTTCTCCTTCAGTTTCTTCACCACCGCCTCTTGGATTGCCGATAGTAACATTCTTGATTGCCTCACTCTCTGTTCCTCTAACTCCATTCTCACTTTCTCCGTCTGTTAAAAAAAAACAAATTATTAGTTACGAAAATCTAAGACCCATAAATTTATTTTGAAAAAAGTTAACAAATTTATTACTCCCTTTGATCAGTTACACGTTTTGTTTTATTTTGTTGGGTTTTTTTTTATCTTTTGAGGGGAAAAAAAGATAATAACAAAAAAAAAGGGAAAATGGAAAGAAAATTACATGTTGGGCAATGAAGCAATCGATCTCAGATTGCTGGTTCTGGAAATGGTAGAGAAGCTCTTGGTCAAGAAAGGATGGTTGAGATGAGAGCTTGTTCTTCTGAGGAAATGGGAGAGCGTTTGATTCGGCTATGGAGTCTCTGGATCGCTTCCTGGGAACAGGGACGTGATAGGTGAGGCCACTATCAGATTTGTTTATGGAATTTGGAGGTCCACAAAGGGTGGATTGGTAAAAGGGTAAGAAGGATTCGGGCATTGTTGAAGACACGGGCATAGCAGCATCCATCTGGGCATTGTAGAATTGATTATGATCGGGTTTGATCATTTCTCTGAAGAAACAAAGTTGAAATCAATCTATATCAGAAATATCAAAAATGATAAAAAGAAGATAAGAATGAAAAGAAAGAACACAAGGGATATATATATTGCAAGGAGAAAAAAAAGAAAGAAAAGAAAGATGGTTTTTTATAGTTTGTATTATTATTACCTATTGGTGAGTAACTGAGAAGGGAAGAGATTCATGTGCTGTGCTTCAACTGCCATGATGAATGAGAGTTGGTTACCCCTTGTGAGTATGAGTTGGTTAGGCTCTCCCGTTGGTTTTCTGTGTTTTCTTTGATGCAAAATAGCAAATGGGTGAAGGAAAATAAGAGAGAGAGAGAGAAAGAGAGAGAACAAAAGCATGCAATTGAGGTGGCTACTCTTAGGGAGCCTCAATGAACGAGTCCCGTTTATTTAACGCTTTGGCTCTCGTGGCATCTTAAGAGAGAGAGAAAGTCAAACGCATTTTTTTCTAGAGAGAGAAAAATCTAAGCATATATTTTATTTTATTAGAAGAAAACAACTGATTAATTTAATTTCAACAAACGTATAGTAACACATGTGTGAGTGGGATTCCCTTTTAGCCTTTTTCTTCTTTCACTCGCTTTGGAATTTGGGCTTCGGCGTTTTTCAATGGTGTAGCAATTTAGGATACATATCACATTTATATCTATTTTATGAGACCATTAATAGTGTGAATGCTCTAGATTCATTTGTGGCACTAAAAAATAGAAAAACTTAATGGCGGAATTTATTTTGTGAGTGGTTAGACAGAGACCTTTAATTTGGCTCTTTGGAAAAAAAGGGGCAGTTTCAGCAGGCGTTGGTGTGAATGTGATGAGTCACTCGACGAATGACGCGCGGCCTCTGTGACAGGACGTGGCGATGTGGAAAACTTGCCACGTGGGTCCATGAACGTGAGTGGGGCCCAAAGGATTATATGCACGTGCGAGGTGCGTGAGTGGGAGTGTGGGGACAACAATCGCTGACCCCTGAACCACGTAAAGGTGGGACCCATTTCTGTTCGGGAGCGGTTTCCCCGCTGTGCTGCCTTGGTCTCTTCCGAAACTGTTGTGTCCCTGTACGGACAAATTGCCGGGTGAGAGTTATCTGCTGTGGGGAAGGTGCACTGCATCTCGATAGTCATGTTCTCGGTCAACATTTACCTGCACCGCTCTCTTTTATTTTTATTTTTTCTTTAATTTTCTTAGATAAATTCTGCAGTGTAATGCGTGCACAGGTGCACTAGCTAACAGTTGAGATATTTCGATCAATGGACCACAGGCACAGCGTTATGTTATGTCAACATTTACTTCATCTGTGACCGCCAGCCCAATCACCAATGTAGATTGCATGTATTGTATTATTATTTTATATTATTGTTACAAGTTTTAAAGACAAATTTGATAACATAGGTTTGATGGCCAAAATACTATTTTAAAATTTTTTATTTCTGGCAGAAAAAAGTATCAAGTTGATTGGATAAGTTTTTTTTAAACTAATGCAATTAAACATGTCATTTATACTAACAGAACTAGTCGTCTCAACGATACTAACGGGACTCATGGCACGTCAGCACCACATAGGTAGTCCCGTTATCGCAAAACTTTGGAAGACCATAACTTTTGACTCGGGTATTCAAATCAGATGATTTTTTTATTTCACATAACTTTTCGAGATCTACACAATGACACCTCATTTGACATATTTTATCTCCCACAAACATAGTTTAAATTTGTAACAATTGTACTACAATCACAAGAGCGTTTAAATCCAAAAGATGGCATATGCGGCAGCTCATAGTGTTGGTTCGGAAAGAAATCAAGATCTCCTGAATTTAAATGATCTTGTAATTGTGGAACTATTGTTGCTAACTCAAACTATGTTTGTGAGTGATAAAATATGTCAAATGAGATATTATTACGTAGATCTTGAAAAGTTATGTGAAATAAAAAAAATCATCTGATTTGGATACCCGAGTCAAAAGTTAGGGCCTTCCGAAATTTTACGATAACGAGACTCCCTACGTGGCGCTGATGTGACATGAGTCCCGTCAGTATAAGTGACATGTTTGACTGCATTAGTTTGGAAAAACTTATCCAATCAACTTTAACTAGACAATTCTTTTGTCCAAAAATTTCAAAATGGTGCTTTTCTCTAGGTTTGATAGTATAAGATTTAACAATATAAATTTAATTAAATTTTAATATTATTCATGATATTATATAAAATAATATTATTCTAGTAATGTATTTTATAATGCCAAATATACAAAAATGTCATTTAATAAATAAACAGAAAAATATTTCTGCAATTACTAAAGATAAGTTATCTGCATTTACGTCTAAAACGACGTAGTTTTGGGATTGAAATATTAAAAAATTATAATTATAAAAACTATAATAACCCTAAAATAAATTAAAATTATAAAAACACAATAATTTTCGTCCCAAAACGACATTGTATTGGGCTTACTGCAAAAAAGCGAACCCATAAATAAATTATATAATCCTTCAAATTTGTCATATGATATTAATTTTTGTAAAAATCTACTCATTAGTGTGACCAAAAATATATTATATTTTATAAAAATTTCCAATATTTTAAAATTTAATATATTGCAAAATTGTTTTTTATTTTAATATATTAATATTAAAATAAGGGATAAGTTATACTTACCACCATTTTCTATCGTTTCTTACCATCAAATCTTAATAGTTAATTTATGTCAATCTAATATTTATAATTTATTTAAAATTAATAATTATTTAATAAGTGTGATTTAGTAAATTATAACTATTAGATTGACGGAAATTAACGGTTAAGATTTGGTTTAAAAAAAAAATAGTGGTAAGTATATCCTCCCTCTTAAAATAATCTATCAAAATAATAATAATAATATATTAATTCTTGGAAACTGTATTTGTCAATCACTTATCAGGCTTAATCTCACCCACTTAGGCTTGATTAAGTTAGACATATTTTTGATGTATTAAGGGATTCAGCAGTATAAGGTTATACTATATAATGGTCACACCAAACAACTAAAAATGTCTTAACTTATAATATAAACTTATACTATCAGCTCTTGTACATCACATCAAAACAGATTCTAATAATCATAAAAATTTTCGGATTAATTATATTATTACTTATTTAGGATATTGAAATTTGATTGATCTCGTATCTATTTTAGATGATTACATTTTTCTCGAGATTATTATATAATTATGTACTGTACTTAAGGGTGTAAATGAGTTAGGCTGGCCTACAGGGGCCTACGGCCTAGCCTGTATTAGGTCAGGTTTGACCTATTATAAATAATAAAATAGAACCGGCCTAGGCTTTTAAAATACCTATTTAGAAAATAGGTCATAAGTTTTTTTGTATATGTCTGGCATATAAGCCTACAGGCCGACCTATATCTATTTATTTAAAAAATAATAAATAAAATTTTATTTCAATAATTTTGAATAGTAAAATAATATTATTTTAGTGAGGAAGGTTATACTTACAACCTTTTTTTTACAACCTCTTACAACCATATATCATAACCGTTGATTTTCGCTAATCAACGATTGTCATTTATTATGAATTAATAATTAATTAATATGTTTAATTTGCTAAAATCATAACCGTTGATTGGCGGAAATCAATGGTTATGATATATGGTTGTAAGAGGTTGTAAAAAAAAGGTTGTAACTATAACCTCTCCCTATTTTAGTTATTCTTTTAATTGTTGAATGTTTAATAGGCTTAAATAGGCTAATAGGCCTAGGCCAAGGCTTTTAATTTTTAAATATAGGTCAGACCAGACTTATAATTTGAGGCCTACACAGGCTAAGAGGACAGAGGCCTGACCTATTTAAGGCAAAGTTTAACTTAGCCCAGCCCATTTACACCCCTAACTCTGTACTTTAACTAATTCTATGTGAGCAAACACTCAGTGTTACTGGTGATTAATTTTGTATTGTTAATAACAATTTTAGAACTTTAAAAGATGAAATAAATATTTTGAATAAAAATCTAGAACCGAATATATAATTGTTCAAAATGTCATTTCATCTTTTAATTAAAATTTTAAAGTTAACAGCAAGATGTTCACAATTAACTAATTATATTGAGAGTAAGTTAAGAAAAAAATGAAAATTGGAAAATATTGCTCACCATCACAAAGAGCATGTTTGGGATATTTTTTTTTTTTTCAACTAAAAATTACTTTTAAGCTAAAGCTAAAAAAGAGTTTAAAAATAAAGCTAAAAGTTGTGTGATGATTATGGAAAAATTTTAACTTAAAAGTTACTTCAAAATTATTTATTTTAGAAACTTAAAACAAGCTTCTCCTAAGAGTTTTTAGTTTTTCTCTTCATCTTTTTTATTATAAGAACTTTTATAAAAACCTATTACGTAACTTTTACTCATAAGGAGAAAAGAAGTTAAAAATAAAACTCACAAACAGACACTAAGAAGTTTATTTACATTAATATGGATTAAAGTGCAATACATATTAATTTTTAAGGGAATGAAATGTAATAATTTACCCAATTTCATACTGATTAGGATCTAATTATATACTCAGTTAAGCTATTATGACCTAGTTATTTTTTTAAAATATAAATTTGATAAGAAGTTGTAAACGACAAATAACTATTTAAAAAATTAAATAAAATTATAAGGACTTGCATAGTATACAACCTTATTAATTTTAATATATATTCGTTGAGAAATTTAAAGTTTCTGTTCTCCATGAAGAGTAAAATTGCACTCAAACTATTTTATAATTAAATGTATCATATTTCTCAATTTAATTTTTGTCATTAGGTTTGTTGTGTTTTCTAATTATATTCCGGATTTGCCATGAATCTTGAACATTAGCTTCTATCCGGAAAAATATGAGTTATTATAATTCTTTTTAATTGATGTCCAAAACATGTAAACTTGGTTTGGTTAGATACACATAGAGAGTTTTTAAGCTTATGAATTGGATCACGACTGTCACGCATATAGGATATAGCTATCCCCCATGCTTCTGAATTCCATTTGTGAATAGCGCGAATGACAAACAATAGAGAATCTGAATCTGTTATATAAAATCAGGTAAATATAGCTGAGGAAGATGTACATCTGCAAATAAATAATGCCCGAGACCTCACATGCAGATGGTACAGTTTACATCCATAATTTGATATGCCACGTACGGTTATGTGTATATATGTAAAGAAAGATCTATCGCTTAGTTGTCGCAATTATATATGTGTACATATGTAACTTTACCCTCAAATATTTTTCATCATAATACCTCAGTCATTACTGCTTAGTGAATTAATTAATTAACAACTATATAAATAAAATAGCTTGCCTACTTAACT